CTAGTTATCTTTCTGTTATTGATTTCAAGTTTACCTTCAAGTTTACTTTCATTAGGGTCAATGAACTTCCTTTGTATGATTTCAATTATTTTAAATTTGTTTAGGTTTGTGTATGACTTGTATATGATCTATCCCTGTGAATGTTTCATGTGCACTTGAAAATAATTTGTATGTAGCTGTTGTTGCATGTAACATTCTATAGATATTAATCAAATTCAGTTGGTTGGTAGTGTTATTTAGTTTCTCTGTATTCTTATTGATTTTCCTTCTTGGCATCTATCAGTTACTAAGCGAGGTATGCTAAAATCTCTGATTATAATTGTGAATTTTTCTATGTATGCCTTAATTTTTTGGCTGTTCTTTCATGAATTTTGGAATTCTGTTGATATAAGAAGATATAAGAAAATATCTTATATCTTCAGGAATTGAGTCTTTTATCATTGCATAATGTTCCACTTTATTCCTAGTGAATTTTTTCCTCTGAAATCCACCTTGCTTCATATTAATATAGTCACCTTAACTTTATTTTTCTTAGTGCTTGTATTATATATCTTTTGGTTTCTAGATTAACTAAGCCATTGTATTTGAAGCAAGCTTGTTGTGGCAGCATAGAATTAGCACCATTTACCTTTACAATGTCCAAGATGGCTATGGTGGTGCATACTTGCAATCCCTGCACTTAGGAAGCAGAGCCAGGAGGGTTGCTTCAAGTTCAAGGTTAGGCTGATTTACATAATTAGTTTGGGGCCAGCTGGAGCTACACAGTGAGATCCTATCTCAAAACAAACTAAAAACAACCGCAAGCCCTTTCCATTCTGTCAACCTCTACTTGGTACGTTTAGACCATTTACATTTGATGTGATTATTATTGTCTCTGGAGGCCTGCCATTTTATTCATTTTATTATTATTCTTTTGTTGTTGTTGTTGTTCTGTATTGTTGTTGTTCCTCTGACAGAGGGGAAAAAACAGTAGGGATTCTTCCCAAGCCCTTGGAACCACAGACCCTCTAGTTAGAGAGGCAAGCTCCCTTTCCTCAGACTCGTTGGCACTTGCACAGCCACCACCTCCATAACTGTTGTGGTTATGCTGTTGCAGGATTGCCCGAGGCTGCAGCAGAGGACAGAAAAAGAGAAAGGGGTTCCCCTTTTCTCCAGTTTAAAAAGATCTTTTCTGCAGTTCAGATAAGAAAGAAGGGGCTCTTTTTAAAAAAGATTTTACTTATTTTTAATGATGTGTGCATGCGTGTGTGTGTGTGTGTGTGTGTGTGTGTGTGTGTGTGTGTGTGAAGGTACCCACGGAGGCCAGAAGAGGGAATTGAATCCCCTGGAGTTACAGTTACAGGTGATTATGAGCTGCCCATGTAGGTGCTGGGAACCAAACTTGTGTCCTCTGAAAGAATAATATGTTCTTCACCACTGAACCATCTCTCCAGCCCCTCTTTCTTTTTTTCTGTCTATGATCCTCCAGTGTGTACTTCTGAGTGCCTGTTTGGCTTTGTGTCCAAAGTAGAGAAAGCAGGAATCTCATTGCCAGATTCTTACCTTCTGTTCTGTTTTCTTCCACACATAGCTGCTTCATGTTTACCATGCAGAGTTTTCAGCTGCAGCTAGTGGGAGTGTATCCTAAATGCACTTTCTGCATCTTCCCACCACTTAAACACTAACAAACTACCCCTTGTTTTGCAGAACTACCTCTGTGCGGAAAACCACCCTTTGCCTTCCACTCTGCTGCTGGAGACAACCACATCCTCCCCACCTCCTACCGGCTCCATGGAGAGTTCAGGTTAGTGTGTATGTGTGTGAGGAGGGAAAGGTCCAGAAGGCCTAGCTGGTTCAATGAGGAAGGCCTCTGCTGTGGGTGAGCATGCCCCCAGGACCACCTGCACCAAACCAGGCTGTGAGACCCTGAGTGTGAGGAATCTTGAGAGATGGACATCCATACATTTATTTGAGGCCTCAATTTCTAGGTGGCTCAGGTCAACAGTGAATAATGACAAGAATGGCCAAATTCTTTTCACTGAAGCAGAAACTGTAAAGTTTCAAAGACTATCAAGGAATAAGAAACTTCCTGCCAAATATTAACTAATTCAGCCTTCATAACAGCCCTGTTAGGTAAGCAGTATTATTACTTTAAGGTAAACCCAAGGCAGGTATTTTTAGGGAAGGCATTCTGTTTATCAGTTTAAATGTTAAACCCATCCAAAAAGATTCTCATGGAACCACCTAGAATAATGTTGGCCAAACAACTAGGCACACTGTGGCCTAGTCAAGTCACACAGAATTAACCATCACAAATGGGAATAGGGTAATGTCAAGAACAATTTCTTTGCTTGAAGAAAATTCTTAGGCTTTTCTCTCATATCAGGGCTGGACCCCAAGAGAATTAGGACACTGCTGTCTACTACAGGCTCCAAGGGTCACATTTTTGAACAAAGATCTACTGCAGTACAAACTAACAAACAATAACAAAAATCAACTTTCTCCAATTTGTATTCTTTTAAATCTCCTCCCACCAGCAGGACAGTGAGGAGCATTGTTGGGGAAGAGCTATCTTGGCACGGTGACCTTCCTCCATAATTCAGTTAACTGTCCTCTGTGAGCTCCGGCCATCTTCCCATTTGACTTCCTCCCTGTCTAACAGATCAGTTACCCAGAACTCCAAGCTGATCACAGAAGACCGTAGTGGTGCTTCCTCTAACTGTCCACCAGAAGCTCCTGGAGAGCTATAGAAAAATTCAGTGATATGGCTTGACTCTCTGAGATCTGATTTAACAGGGGTGATTATGATGTACAACCATGGTGGAAAGTAGAAGAAAGATGGGAAGGAAGTAGGAGAGCAGTTGTCTCTAGAGTCACAGAACATGGGTTTGAATTATCTGATACTGAGGAGCAGACCCTGGACTATGAGGGCCAGCCACGAGTGGGACCTTGTGGGCTTTTCTTCTTCTTTTCCTGTTGCCTCTTTCACTGCAATAAAAACCGATGTGGGAGCTGAGAACTCCTTTTTGGGTGATCTTTTTGGGGGTGATTATTTCCTCATTTCAAACTCAGGTGCACTTAGGAAGACAGACACACACCTAGGTATGCTGTCTCTTTTTCTGGTAAGTAAATGGTCCCACAAAGATGATAACTTCTTTATTCTTTTAATTAATTTTTTGGTTAGCATACAAAAAACAAGCTATGATGCTTTCATGCACAGATATCATTCTACTTTGTTCTCTACTCTACCCTGTCTGCCCTGCTCCCTCTTTCTGGTTTCTTTCTTTCCACCAAACAATCCCCCTTCTGCTTTCATATCATACAGGTTCCATTACCCTCTTTCTCTCCTCACTGCCTTTAGAACTTCCTCCTCTTCATAGTTCCCTTTCTACTTTTAACACACACACACACACACACACACACACACACACACACCCCTAGATTCTTCTTATGAGAAAACATGCATTATTTGTTTTCCTGAGTCTGGCTTATTTTGAAGATTGCAGCTTTCAAAGAAGAGCATTTGACCAAATAAGTTCTATTTCCCACAGCTCTATGGCCTCCATCTGAACCTCATTTTCCTCCCTCCAAAATGGGAAAGGTGGCTCTTGGGTCCCTCTAGGTGTGACCTTTGGCAGTTAGAAAGGCAATATGGGATAAGATCTGGGATCTATAAAATAGAATAGCATTTGTCCTGTGAACTCCACAAGGCTCTAGTCAGAATTACATGAGTTACACACTGGAAAATACTTTATCCATGAGTGAGCCAAAAAGTGCCAGCTATTTAACAGAGGACCCTAAATATCAGCAGAATAACCCAACAATTCCACTTCACACTTACTCAGAGTTTACTCTTGGCTCTAAGCAGTCATTCAAGACTGGAGACTTCTGCCTTGTGGCATCATCATCACCAACATGTGTCCTCTAAGGCCACTGCTGAATGGAAACGTATAGAGAACAGTGCAGGGAATTCTATCGCCAGCCTTGCAAATGACCGACTTCACTTTCACCATATTCCACTGGTCAGAATTGGTTCCATTTAATTGAATGGGAGTTTGGGAAATGTAGTCTTCCTGTCTACCTTGATTTGATGAACATTTACCACTGTCTTGCCACACAAATGGAATATTCCCTTTTAAGTGCTATTTAAGTGTTATTAGCACCTACTGATAATATCTTGTATTTCCAAGATCAGCGTAAATTCTAGTGTCATCCACTTAGTGTTCTTTCTCCTTGTGTATGGGCTGAGGAGGCCTGGACACTGGGAAGAGACTGTGATATCCTGTTCATTTCACTGGGGCCTCCAGAATCTGCTGGCCAGGCTTGTGTGGCCTAGAGGGATATGCTTGTGCTCTGGCCAGAGGTGGTCCAGGTAGCCTATATGTGAAGTCCAAAGGCACAGGGCTTAGTGCTCAGGTACCCCTGTCTGATCCTTGCTACCACCAGTAAGCCAGGTCCTGGTCAACCCTGGTGTTCTGCATTCTCTGTAATCCCATAACCTTTGCTCCCTCGTGGTCTTGAAGAGTTCAGCCTCCCATCCTTGAATTAAAAAACACTATCTTTCACTCTGGCTCCCTTTGGACATCCCAGCTCAATCAGCTCAGTTAGATAACTAGAGGATCTGAAACCCCTGTGTCTCCAGGAACAGGGGGAGAAGGAGAATGAGTGAAGCCAGAAGAGCTGGCTGAGAAAAACCAGAGAAGCAGTGCCACATCCAAGGGCAACTGCTCCCCAGCCCCTGCCATTGTCCCATGTCAGAAGAACTCATGCCCAGTGTCAACAGATTTCCGGATTTGTAAGCGATGCCAGGCACCCAAATTTTCATGCAAAACCCCAGATTCTTCAATGTCAGTAGCTAATTCATTTTTAAGAGTATACTGCACAAGCCCAAACAGACCATGTCTGTCAGCCAGCTGTGACCCAGAGCCTGTTTGTTCCAGCCGCCCAGACTTTCAGAAACAGTGTTTGTTTGAGATTGTCTCCCAGCACTACTGGAGACTTCTCTATTTTTCTCTGAAACATTAAAAAAAAAAAAAAAAAAAAAAGTAATTCCCCTTACAAGGCAGGGGGTCTGGGCTCAGAAACAAAGGCTTGGCTGTCCTAGTAAGGAGGAAGGACAGAAAAGATCCTAACTGCCACTGGCTTGGGCCTTTCTGTGCATTCTGCAGCAGGAGAAAGAGAGGAAAAAGGAAAGAAGGAGAGAGGGAAGGGGGGGCGTGAGGGATGAAAAAGGAAGAGAAAACAGAAGGAAGATTTGAGTGGGTGAAGGCGGGAGGGCGCCAGAGAAAGAAGGAAGGAAGGAGAGGGAAGGAGAAAGAAAGACACACTACCAATAATTTACTAATAACTCACCACGAACAAGCTCATTAAACCTTCAGGAAAGGTGGAGAGGGGCAGAAGAGGGCAAATTGGACCAGCCTCCACGCTGGGCTGAGTTTCTGGTCAATTAGAAGAGAGGCAGCTCTGCCCAGAGGTTTCCAGGTGGGCAGATGTGACTGTGATCTCCTACCTACTTTCAGCTGAAGAATTAGGCTTTGACACTAACAAGTGAGTCACAGAGAACAGGAGGAAAATGGGGGCTTCAGAGTTGCTGGTGGTCCTCTGAGCCCACCTCAGAGCCATGGAGCACCAGGGCAGAGGATGCCTTGACCTAAACAGTTTACCTCAGGCTACCGTCTGCTGATGTTTACATAGGAAAAGTCTACCAGACTTTCTTCAAAGGAATTGGAGGCAATTAAGGCATATATTTAATAAACACAAAGCTGGAACAGCAAGAGGAAGTAAGAAAGGCTCCTCCCCTTGACATGAGCTGATGTCTGAGACTGATTTCAATTTGGTTCTAAGTTTCTTGGCAGCCAGGTCAAAAAGAGAAGCCCTGAATTATGTGGTTTATGTTGTCTGGTAACAGGAGAAGACACAATTACTTGCCTGTAAAAATGGGCTCTCGGGCCGGGCGTGGTGGCGCACGCCTATAGTCCCAGCACTTGGGAGGCAGAGGCAGGCGGATCTCTGTGAGTTCAAGGCCAGCCTGGTCTACATAGTGAGTTCCAGGACAGCTGGGGCTACAGGGAGACCCTGTCTCAAAAAGACCAAAAAATAAAAAATTTAAAATTTTTTTAAAATGGGCTCTTGGTTAGAGCTCAATGCAAGGGAAATTTGTCGTGCAGTGTGTTTCCTGTACTTTTTTTCCTAACCCAAATCCTCCAGGAAGCAGACACCAACACAGGACCAGATATGTAAGGATTTATTTCCAGAAACACCTGTGAGTCTGAGAGTAGATGGGGAGCCGGCGGAGAGCTGAGGGGTTGAGGTGCCGGGCTGTGAGGAAAATCTGAGCCCACAATGAAGAAGAAAGGGCAGCAGGGCTCGGGGAACTGTCAGGCTGAGAAGCCAGAGAAAGGATACCCAGAGTGGGAGTGGTGGTGGAACCTGGAACCAAAATTAGCCATCAAACAGCTGGTGTCTCCGGAGGACAACTGTGAAACCCTACTGTGATTGTCACAGAACTTAACAGATTTCACAGCACAGCAGCCTAGGCAGGGTCAGTTGAAGTCCCAGCAGTAAGAGGCATTGAGGAGTGATCCCATGGCATCCTCATTTTGCAAAGGTCACTTCCTCATTCTCTGCCTTCATGCATCTGCCATGTCAGTATGTCCCTATCAAAGAAAAATTTACTCTGACACTTGTCAAAATGGCAAGGAAGGCTTTACCCAAGACTGACAGCAGAGGAGAGAAAACAGGCTCAGTTCTGAAAGAAGGAAAAGACAGCTTGGGATTCCCAGCCCAGGAGCAGAGTGAAGACTCAGGGTGGAAAATCCTAAGAGGGGACACTGGGGTCTGCTGACAGCTCAGGATGGGAGCTCCTGCTCAACTGACTTAACAGAGGAAAGGTCAAGATCACATACATCAAAAGTGAAGAAGGAAGATACATACCGAGGATAAGAGGTTGTCTCTGAGCTGACTTGGCAGGATTCTGGGTAAAACTAGAATGGCCAAGTCAGAGACAGGACAGAGGCCAAGGTCAAGGCCCAGAGGAGAAAAGCTTAAAGGAGCTTGAGACTGACTTGAGTACAGTCATTGTTATCACCAGTGATGGTATTTATAGCAGAGTTGGGGTTTAATAAAGAGGATTAGGAGAAAGAGAGGCACTAGAAAGGAAAGACAAGATGCACCAGAGAGCATAGGTGTGGGCTCCCCAAGAGCCGATCTCCATTGGCTTTACATAGTCATCTGTAGGATTTGGGTGCATTTGAAGTTATCATCCTTAATGGCTAAGGAAGTGGTTCCCCAGAGGAGTGCCTGACAGGATTGCAATTGATAAGGTAATGTCTAGATCACAGGGATTAGGGTATCCTTTGGGGCTCTCAGACTGGAGAAAGGACTGCGGCCTTACCCAAGGTCATATACATTCAGGTCCTAAGTGTGGGTCATTGCTATCTTACCATGAAATATCTGTATAGGAAAGGAATGTCAGCTCCGTGCCACCAGCCTTTACAGTAGATTGTGCTGGGATTCTTGCTTCTCAGCTGGTGAGAGGCTTCAATTAGACTTCCTGGCGAGGGGCTTCTTTCCCCTCTCATTTCTCCATATTTTTTCCTGGTTTTCTATCTTGCCTCACTTTCTCCTCTGAGACTTTGATCCCTTAATCTTAAGGGTTACTTAAGAGATATAAATGTCCCCAAATCTGTCTTCTATGACTTCACTTCTTCCATGCTCCATGTTGAAGAGGGATGCAGACTCTACTTATCTAGGGGTCAAAAGTTTCGACCTGACTAGCACGATGTCTCAGTGAGCAAGAGCACTTGCTTTGCAGGCCCAATGAACGTGGGTTAGATCTCCAGAACCCATAGCGGAAGGAGAAAACAGACTCCTGAAGGTCATCCTCTGACCTCTACACACCCACCGAGGCATACGTGCACCCATACACATACCTACACAACACACACACACACACACACACACACACACGCACGTGCGCACGCGCACATGGACACAGATAATAAAATACAATTATAAACTGAGGAAAAAAATGTTTAACGTCTCAAACTATCTGATCTGAAGGGAACATGCGAGGGTCTGAGGCTGGAGACTGGCCCATCATTATTTGAAGGGACTCTAGATCCCAGATGATGTTATTATTTGCTGAGATCCTATCTTCAATAATAACACTTTAGGGGAATCCTGGGCAAATCTCCCAGATGTCTGTGTGTTGGGAGGCCAGAGCAGGAGGCACAACTTCATTCTCTTGCCCACAGCAGGCCAAGAGTTTCCACAATGTTTTAGGGACTTTGACTTAGGCCAAATCTGGATTTGGGGCATCAGTGTAGAAAAGAATTTCAGGGCTAGCCAGTATGAAGCAGAGTTGGGGGAAAATGAAGATATTTTAATATAGACTTTGAGCACAAGGTTTATAGGAAAGAGAAGACACACCCAAAAACATGGGTGTAGACTTCTCTAAGAGAGGCCTTATCTAATGTTTCTTTAAATAGACTTTGAATTCCAGCTAGACTTTGGATTCCATGCCTAGATGGGGAACTATTTATATGTATACTGTCTAATTCACATTAAAATAAGTATATCACAGGGCTAGAGAGATGGCTCAGCAGTTAAGAGTACTGACTGGTCTTGCAGAGGATCCAGGTTCAATTCCCAGCGCCTACATGGCAGCTAACAACCATCTATAACTCCAGTTCCAGGGGAATCTGACACCTTCTTCTGACCTCTGTGGGTATTGCATAGCATGGGTACACTTACACACATGCAGACAATATACTCATACACATAAAATAAAAATAATAAATGAAATATTAAAAAATAAAATTAATGTATCACTATTCAGATTTTAAGATGGTTTGTTCACCACCTAAAATTGTGTTGCACACCACCAGCGATGTACAACTACTCTTCCTTTATCCACAGGGAATACATTCTAAGACACCTCCCCCCACCCAGTGGATGCCCTGCAAAATTGCTATATACCGCTAGTATTAATCTGTCCTTTGGATCATTACTAATCATAATGTTTTGTGACCATTATTAAGAAAAATAAGAGTTATTTGGGGTGGGGGAGATGACTTAGTAAGAACACTTGCAGAGCAAGCATGAGGACCTGAGTTTCGGTCCTGGGGCGAGGGGCACACCTTTAATCCCAGCATTAGGAAGGCAGAGGCAGGCGGATCTCTGTGAGTTCAAGGCCAGGCTGATCTACATAGTGAGTTCCAGGACAACTGGGGCTACACGGAGACCCTGTCTCAAAAAGACCAAAAAAAATTTTTTTTTATTTATTTATTTTTGATGTGCTTCTTTTTTTTCTGCAATTTTTAATTGAATTTTTGTGTATTTCATACAGAGCATCTTAATCATCTTTATACCCCCTTCTCCACTGGCACCCGTAGCATCCCACACACACACTGGAATTCATACATTCTGTTATTTGTGTTAAGGCCTATCATGTCAAGTTAGTGTCCCCAGATGTCCCTCACTACAATTCAACCACTGCACTGAGGTCTAGTCAGCCTATCTAGAGTCTCCTTCTCCTAGAAGATCAGTTCTTCCTCATCAGGCACTAATCAGTTGTCAAAAAATTCTTCAGCTAAGATTGGGGCATGCTGTTCATTTCCACAGTTCTGTGCTGAGTTTTTTCTTTTTGTCTGCTTGAGTTTGCATAGGTCTTGTGCATGCTGACCACCTTGAACTCACAGAGATCTGCCTGCCTCTGCCTCCCGAGTGCTGGGATTAAACCGAGGTGTGCACCACCACGCCCGGCTAGGGTCCCTCCTTTTAAGAAGATCAACTCTTCCTCACCGAGCAGTAATCAGCTGCCAGTAATTCTTCAAGATTCGTGCAAACTCAAGCAGACAAAAACCCAGCACAGAACGGTGGAAACAGGCAGCAGGCCCCAATTTTAGTCAAAGAATAATTGTTTCTTTTATTGTGGACATAATATCACACAAGATGCCAAAATATGTTTTATTAAATATTTATACTTTTCAAATAGTGCTCACCACAGAAAAAACAACTGCAACAAAACAAACAGAAACAAAAAGTCATGTGTGGCAGGACATGCTTGGAACCCCAGGATCAGAGACTTGGGGACATGGGGATCACTGAGGCTTGCTGGTCAGCCAGCCTACCTGACAAATAGCTCCAAGTTCGTCCTCCTCTGGCCTCCACATACATGTATGGGTGCACATACCTGAACACACACATACACATATACACACATACATACATACACATATGCCCTGTCTTAGTTCTCTGTTGCTGTGATAAAGCACCATAACCAAGGCAACTTATAGAAGGAAGAGTTTATTTTGGTTTACGGTTCCAGAAGGATAAGAGTTCATCATGGTGGGGAGGTGTGGCAGCAAGCAGCAGGCACGGCAGTAGAAGCCAAAAACTGAGAGCTCATGTCTCCAACAACAAATAGGAAGCAGACAGAGCAAGCTGGAAGTGGGGCCAGGCTGTGAACTCTCAGAGCCCACCCTTGGTGACACACTTCCTCCAGTAAGACTACACCTCCTTGAGATCCCATGACCTCCCCAAACAGCTCCACCAACTGGGGGCCAAGTGTTCAAGTATTTGAGCCTATGAGGAACATTCTCATTCACATGCCCTCCCAATTGTCTTTTTTTTTTGAAGAGTTATTGGAACACAAATACTGCTATACTAAGATACTTTATCAGGTTATCAATATGGCTACTAATGGGTGAGTAGCCTATACTGCATGGATACTCTGGACAAAAAGATTCATGTATCAAGCCAGATGGAGAAGGGTAGAGATTTCATCATGCCACTCAGAGCAACCAGCAATTTTACAGCTTATAAATTGTATATTTCTGGAATTTCCCTTTAATATTTTAAGACCATAGTTCATGCTGGGTAATTGAAACTGCAAAAAGTGAACTCTCAGGCAAGAGGGGACTTCTGTATAGCCACATTTTGGGAAATGCTGGTTTTACAAAGACAGAAATGCTGCTGGAAATGCTATATTTTAGCTCAGAGCACTGTGTCCAATGCCAGCTCTTGGTGAATTACTTCCTGAACCTCCTAAGGTTCACTGAGGGGCTAAGGACTTTCTCTAGGGGATAGAGGTGGGGGCCCGCAGTGAGACCAGGTGAACTGGGCTCCACAACTCCTGACCTCAAAGCACCCCACTTTCAGATGTGGAGCTGGACCTGCAGAGGAGTGTGCAGGCTGTACTGCGAGAGCTCAATACGCCAAACCCAGCCCTGCAGAGAAACCAAGGTAAGAGGTAGGGCGGGAAGGAGCTACTGCCTCCCACCACGTCCTGCCAGTTCTGCCCCAGGCATTCCAGAAAGGGCATCTAGAGTTCTCAAGTGAAGGCTTTCCACCCCAGCTGCCTTCCTGCTGGAAATATCTGAAGCTTGGGGAGCAGGGAAGGCTTCTCTACTTCCTGGTTCAAACTTCTTAGCTGCTGTGGCAGGCAACAATAGGAATCTGCTACCCTCTTTCTTTTAAAAAATGATTATATTTTTAACTAATCAATTTTAATGAATAATGTGCGTGTATCTGTGTGTCTGTGTCTGTGTGTGACAGCAGGTGACAGTAGAGTCAGGAAGAAGCATCAGATCCCTTGGAGCTGCAGTTACAGGTGGTTGTGAACTGCTCATGTGGTTCTTGTAACAAACTCTGGTCCTCTGCAAGAACAGTACTCACCCTTAACTACTGAGCCATCTCTCTAGCCTCAGCCACCCCCTTTCTTAACAACCTTCCCCAGCTCCACTTCCAAATGAAGCTTCCCTTCAGGCCCCTCAGAATCTTCAGAAGGCAGCTGGGACCCAGGGCTTGCAGATGCTGCTGTCTTATGACCCACACACACTTCAGTCCCGTCTTGTGACTCCTCCCCTTGTTTCTGGCCTGGGAGTTCACTGTCTAGAAATGACTGCAGATCGGGAGGGGCTCACCATGGACACCAGGGGCCAGCCCCGGCTGCAGGGTCAGATGTGGCTGGTCAATCACAGTCTGGAACCCAGGGTTCCTGATTCACAGAATGGCATCTAAAACCCTCTGCCCCACCTGGCCATGCTGGGTGCCCTGTTTCTCCCGGCTCAGGCATGTGGAGATGGTCACTGCACAAGAAAGTGGAGCGAGATCCCGGAAAGAACTCCGTGCTGGTCCGAATTCTGCTCAGGGAGCTGGAGAAGGTATGAGCTTGAGCTTAAGGGCATCAGGCAGGCACAAAACGAAGAGAGGAGGTCCCATCGGGTTGGGGTTCCATCCCAGCAGCTCTACTCCCCCAACCTTGGGTCATTTGTGGATCATCTGCTTGATTTGTACCAGACATATCTTCTTCCTTGATATTTCCACCAGCAGTATTTTCTATTCATCCACTCCTGCTGTTACTTGAGTTAGCATATTTCAAAAAGAAACTTTATAACATAACCATAAATGGAAAACATATCGCTGAGCAGAAATAGAAGACATACACACTCTACACATATGTGTATAATGATGAAAGCTTCTTGTATCACCCCAAATTATCCCCCACACCACCCCGTGTTCTGCATGTTGCTGCCTGGGAAACATTGTACTTGAGGGAGGCACCAAGTTGGGGACTTGCTGGTCACTTGGCTTTGGCTCCTGTGTGAATCTAATGGTGCCCCTCCTGGCACAGGGATTCCTCCACCTGCCCTTCCCCTCGCAAGCGGCTTCCACATCCTCGCTCCCTCTTCACCCTACTCCCTCCCTCCCTTCTCCAGAGCAAGCTACAGTCCTTTTACTCCCCTTGTATAATGTACCACTGCCTTCTGCCCCATCTCCTGCACACCCACAGCCTAACCTGCACCCAGCAGCTAGGATGCTGTGGTCTTGAAGCACCCAGCCAGTGTAATGGTGGGCTCTCCTGTCTTCCAGGCAGAAAGTGAGGACGTGCGGCATGTCATCATCCCCTTGCTGCTCACTCTAATGTACGTGCTCACTAAGGTGAGCGGGGCTGGGGTCAAGGTGTGGGGTGGTTCCCTTGAGGTTCGGGACTGTCCAGGCAAAAACACAGTACTTACCTCAAACGGAATAAGAAAGAGTTTATTCTGGAGTCAGATATGAGTGACCATGGCCAAGGAACACAGACTCAGGTTTCCCCAAATACCATGTTCCATTGTAGAAGTAGTTACATGAGATTTTATTTATTAGGAAACAAAGCCATACATCAACATGTTTACCAAAAACATTAGTGGAGGCCACAGGTAGGCAGGTGACTTGGAAAGGGGTCGGGGTGGGGGGCACACAACAGTACAGGACTCTGTTGCAGATAGTAACTGATGACATTCTTAGCTTTTGGATTGGTGGAAGCTACTGGTCCACTAACATTGCAAAGTTTTGATAGTCACAAGGATGGTAGGTCAGGTACAGGTGTGGGCAATGGGTGAATGGTTTTCAAAGGGACTGAAACTATCTCAAGATAATTTGGCTCTGATCTACAGTATTTTCTCTCTCCATAATCTCGAAATTCAATCATTTGGCCTTGTACAATCTCTAACACAGCTTTTCTTTTTTCCTTTCCTGCCTCCCTCTCTCCCTCCCTCTTTTTCTCCCTTCCTTTCTTCTGGGAACTTCAGTTCACAGGACTCTGTCCTATCTTCTTAATGGATAGCTAATGACTACTAGGGCTAGCCTGGACTTGCCTTCCACTCACTGTGTGCGTTCCTTTCTACCAAGAGATAATATTGAAGAGGCAATGGGCACTGGGGCAGTGTGGGGCACTTTGATAGTGGAAGCCTCCTTGGGTTGTTCATATGGGCATCGTGGGTGATCTCTACATGAAGACGAGACACAAGGAGAACAATATTTTAAAGTCTTGGTTAAAGTAATGGGGGGCCAAGGGTTGTCTCAGGGATGGGAGCAGGTGAGGAAGAAGAGGAGCAGGGAGAGCAAGCCTGGAGTCACTGCAACATCCAGGTTAAGGATGGGCTGAGCTCTGGTAAAGGAGGCGAGTGCAGTGAGGAAGAAAGGGGAGGGAGGGGAAGAAAGGAGCCTCTGGGGCATTGTGGAGTATCTTATGCCTGTGGGATTCATGGAGGTGCAGGGATTTGGGAAGTACCTCCAAGGTTCTGAGCCTGGAAAAAGCACAGAATATGCCATCCAGCCCTAAGAGCAGGGCTGATAGGGAACGGATCTGCTGGCAGAATGCAGGGATGAGTTTCTATCTTGGTAAGGTGAGAGGGCTGTCAAAGGGAGGCTCACAGATGCTGGGAGGAAAGAGTGCAAGCTGGGGATGTGGAGAGCATTGACAGTCTGGCTGCCAGGCCCAACCTTCCTCCTCTCCCACTTACCCTATCCCAACTCATCCAGAACCCTTCATAACCTAAAGTGTCACCTCCTCCTCTCACCAGGCCACAGGTATCACAGAAGAGCTCTACCAGAGAACATATACCTTCTGTACCAGGCTGCTGACCCTGCCTGCCCCCTATTCTACAGTTGCTTTGGACTGTGCCATAAGGCTGAAAACAGAGACAGCTGTCCCAGGTGAGAGCCACTGAGACCTGACATCCTATGCTGCAGTGCAGTACCACCCAATGTCTAGCTGTTTTCTCCAGGATGCTAGGGAACTCAAAATCTCAGCTTCTTCCAGGAAATATGGAGAGTGGGAATCAGAGACCTAGAGGCTGGCTGGCTGGCTGATGTGGTCTTTTTGCAGGCACGCTGTACCAAAGGACAGTCATTGCTGAGCAGAACCTGATGAGTGAACTGTACCCTTACCAGGAGAGGTGAGAGGCCCCAGAGTGGTTGCTGCTTTCAGCCCCCTCAAGGTGTTGATTTCTGTGTAAGTGCTCACTGACAGGAGGACAAAAGCAGAAGCTTGATTAGGAAGAGCTCTAACAGAGCTTTGCGGCCCTACTGGGCCAGCAGTGGCATACACTTACAATTCAAGGGCAGTGGCCATATTGTTTTCTGGACCTTCTTCTTCAGCTGGATACAGATCTACCTTGTTCATGTGCAGGGGGAGCATATGGCCCAGGGTCATGCCATTTTACATTCTTGCAACCCCCATCCTACTCTGTGCCATGATGAAGCAGTATCCAACTGGCCAGGCAGCCAGAGGCAGCTCTAGAATGCCCACCTTGTGGGGTCTGAAGCCAGGGGCTTTCCTCAGTGTGAGCTCACCCCTTTAGATAAGAGGGGGTGGCAGAGTTGAATGAGGAAGAAAGTGTGGGTGAGATTGGTTTTCTGGTGTGATCAGGTTAATGAGCAAGATGAGATTTATTTAGGGTTATTTATTTCGAGCTACAGTTTTGGAAGGAAGGATTTAAGGCTCCCCTTGCCCCCAGAGGGTGATGGCCACTGGGACAGGATGTTGAGGATCTGGGAGCAAGGCTCAAGTTGGAACTTCTGATAATAGAAAAGAGGCAATGGCCAGGCATGGAGGCACACACTTTTAATCTCAGCACTTGGGAGGCAGAGACAGATAGATTTCTGGGAGACTGAGGCCAGCCTGGTCTAAATAGTAAGTTTCAGGCCAGCTGGGGCTATAGGGAAACCTTGTCTAAAAAAAAAAAAAGGCAATGGTTGGTCTGGGAAAGAAAAGCAGAGCTGACATGACATATAATTCCATTCAAAAAGTGTAGTTTATTAGGAGAAAGGGTCTGAAGATCGTGATGGGGCCTCGAGATGGGAGGGAGAGCATTATACAGAAAATGACAATATATGTGTATATGTATAAAATTCAATGGGGTCTTAAAGGGGAGGAGATACTTGTCTTTAAAACCTGGGAGGAGCTTCATTAAGAGTGATGATAAGCCAGGGTTAGAGAGATGGCTAAGCTGTTAAGAGCATTGGTTGCTCTTGCCGAGGACCCAGGTTTGGTTCCCAGCACCCATATGGCAGCTAACAACCATCTATAACTCCAGTTCCAGGGGATATGATGCCCTCTTCTGATATCTATGAGCATTGTACAACTTGGGTGCACTTACATACATGCAGGCAAAACACTCATGCACATAAAAAATAAATAAATATATTTTTTAATGATATCATCTCTTAATGATAAGAGAATGAGAGAGAGAGAGTTAGCTACCATGATGGGGTGTGGGTGGGAGGGAGGCCAGAGGAGCCTCTTCAGAGAAAGTCCCCAGAGCAAGCCTCCAAACAAAGGAATTATCTCACTTTTCTAGGTTTCCAGGGGTTGGCAGGAAGTTTCATACCATGTGATTTAGTTCAACATAGTCCCCATGACAAAGAATCAGGTACTGGTTAGGACCATAAATTACCGGCTGCCATTAGCCCATACCACAGACAGCTTCCTAACTCTCTGTCCTAGAGGCAACTTGCAGCGAAGACTGGGCTAATCTCTTCAGGCTGTGGGATCTAGCCTCCTAAGAGTGACCACTGTCTTAGAGGGGCAGGCCCATGCTCTAACACTTCCCTTCACACAGGACTAGGCCTACTTCTGCAGATGAAGCCAGTTAGCTAAGGGGACTGGACCTGCCCCTCTTTTGAGAGGAATTAACCACTAGGCTAAACTGCCTCTCTTATATAGGAGTTATATAACCGAGAGGGGCCACAAAGATTTCAGAGTGCCATCCAGTGCCCTATCCAGCCTTCCCCTCACCTGTTCCTACCCCCAGAGTACTCCTGTTTGTGGATCCTGAGCTGGTTTCTGCCTCCGTGTGCAGCGCCCTGTTGCTGGAGATTGAGGCAGCCCAGGAGCAGCAAACACCAGAGGTCTGCATGCGACACGTTGTCTCCCATGCCCTGCAGGCAACTCTGGGGGAAGCCTGCCATACAGGTGCTCTGCACAGGAAGCTGCAGGTAATTGACACCCCACCCTGGGTATCCACGCCAGTCACTCACTGTATTCATCCTGCCTCTGATTCATATTAGCTTTACCCCTATACATCAGCAATTTATACATGTTTATTAAGGGTATACAATGTTAAAGATGCAGATAGGCCTTTTAAAGACCAAAATTAAAACCACCCATAACTTCTCTACCCAGAAATAATAGCAATGAGCGATGTGATATAGTTCCTTAATAATAAGAGTGGCATCATCAATACAACAGCCAGTTTATTGACTGTTTATTGTGTTCCAAGCACTGTGCCAAACTTTACTTTGAAATTCTCCCCACAGTATTGTGAAATGCAGTTAGTTACATCTTTTTATAGATGGGGAAACTAAGGGACAGAGAAATTGGTAAGCTATTCATGGCTGCACAGATACCAAGAGACTGGGCTAGGATTTGAACCCTAGCCTGTCTGATGTCAAGCTTGTCTTTTGACTTCCATCCTGACTTGTTTTGAACAAACTAAGCTTTAAACTCTGCAACTACTTTTTATAATGCATATTTTCCCACGCCATTGGGAACATGCCACGCGGAAATATATTCCTTGCAAAACTTCTAATGTGCTGTGCTATGCACGTGTGGTAATACCTAGCCAATGTTCTGCTCCTGGTGTGGAGTGTGTGAGCTGGTCGGTACTCGTACCTATTTCCCAGCTTTTCTGATTCAGCCTCAGCCTCTATCCATGGCCCAAGAAATCCTTCTGGCAGAAAATCAGCACCTGGTGCTGAACTTCTTGGTTGAGGGAAGTCTGCTGCCATTCAGAGGACCTTTCTTCAGTGGCAGGGAAAGCTGGGAAGGGCTGGTTTAGATGAAGGCTGAAGATGGAGCTGCTTGACACCAGGCTTGGTGCTGATGCTGCACGAGTAACCAGAAACTCAGACCCAGAAGGGAGGGCGCCCTCTAGGGTTCAGCTGTTCTCGGTTCCTTTCTTGTCCTGATACAGGAAGTAGAGAGCCGTCCTTTTTTATTATTATTATTTTTTTTAATCAGCCCATTAAAATGCTTTGCCCATCAAATCGCAATGGAGCGCTGCTCTTTCTGTTCTTCTTTTCCAGCTGGAATTTTCCAGTCTGAATCCCACATCATGAATACTTTATTTTGGTGGGTCCTTCCTTAAACTGTTGTAGGAACTCTGCTATCTCCCCATCTTAGGGTATGAAAGCAGAGAGGACCCCCCCCACACACACACACACATACACACACCCACAACTGCAGGCAGCAGGGGCAACAGATACAGCAGGGCAGGAACCGGGGCCCTGGACATGGGATCCCAAAGCCCGTAGGAGCCGAGGGAAAGTGCCAGGCTGGACTGTCAGTGGCTCTTGGCACAGGAGCGTATGTAGGTGGGGTGGGGTGTTGGAGGACAGGCGGGTAGCACTTGGGCTCTGACGTCTCTCCTCTCAGGCCAGCTCCCGTCGCGTCCTGGAGTACTATTTCCACGCAGTAGTGGCTGCCATGGAGCAGGTGGCTAGCGATGACTACCCCAGGCGGCTGGGACATCTGGAAAGGCTAAAAGAGATTCACTGCTCGCTGATAGGACCGGCCGCGAGGGACCGTGGCAGCGGTAAGCAGTGGCTGGGTGAGGACCGGCCGAGGGACTGCAGGTGGCGCCAGTGAGCTGCGGTGGATGGACCTGCACCTACGTGATTCAGGAGGACCGGAAATCATGGATCCCGGGAACCTGGGGACTGAGAGAACAGCCTGGGGACTTGGCAGGACTCCGGCTAAGCAAGTGGCTAACGTGATCATTATAGCCCACATCTATACCTGCCATATCCCAGCAGCTGTTCTAGGCCCTTTACATGTATTTACATCTATGACATGTGTTAAATTAACTAAGCTATACAGTAAATTTAGGAGGTAGAAACTATTCTTGCCATCATTTTACTGAGGAGAAAACAGAGTTTGAAAGAGGTTAAAAATCTTGTAGCTCATTTGAGCTAAGATTGCAATCCTGGCAGTCTAGTTTTCCCCTGTTCTGATTAGTAACCAACGGATTTGATTCCCAGAACACCTCTACAGAGGCTTAAAAGTAGCAAGTGTCAGCATCATTTATGTCTGGGGCCATCGATTTTTATTCTGCATACTTCCTTTCTGTTTGCATGTCTATATGGCAATGCCATACACAGACAGGAGCAAGTCCCACAAGCGAGGAACTCCAACACACTCCAGAATGTCAGTGTCCTGGCCATGGCAGGACATAGTTTCTATATGTGTCCTATTATGTAGTATCCAAAGCATCCACAGACCATGTCAGTCTGTATATGTCAGACATATGGTAATTGACTGTATCCATGGTTATAAGGTACAGGGGGGAAGGGCTGGAAGCCACAGCAGAGTACACGAAGTACACTAGGGCTTGAACTCCAGTCCAGGCTGGGCAAAATGGGCAGGATAGCCCTGCACGGACTCCAACCTCTTGGTTTTCCATTCTTGTATTTTGTTTTATAATTCTCTGATCAAGTCTGGGAGTGGTAGTGCACACCTTTAAATCCCAGCACTTGGGAGGTAGAGGCAGGTATATTTTTGTGAGATCAAGGCCAGCCTTGTCTACATAGCATGTTCCAGGCCAGCTGGGGCTACATGGAGACCCTGTCTCAAAAAATAAAACTCTCTGGTCACAGAGAAACAGCTGCTCATGGGCCCTCCCTCCTCTTAAAGCTGGAGCAAACCCCATGGCCAACTTTGGGCTCCTCCTTGGTTACCACTTGCTTGCTAACACTCAACATAACTGAAATAGATGTGAATGCCTGGGCCACCCTCACCATTCAAGCCACATCTGGGAGCATGTGTCTCCCACCCATGCTTGTTCTTCACATCTTAACGCCCAGCCAACACCCTCTGAGGGGCTCCTGCAATCTGAGACAGTGGTTAATAAGCACAGTGGCAGGGGTAAGACCCAGCCACTCAAGCTCAAATCCGGGGTCACTCAGTATGTGACCCTGAGCCAGTTGCTTAACCTCTGTGCTCTACCATCTTCCTATAATTTGAACATGATAATGTCACCTGTCCCTCAGCATCCTTGTCATGAACTAGAGATCGATTGTTGTCTGCCAGGTGGGTATAATAATACCTGACAGGTACAAAGTGCTCCCTGAAGTCTGCCTGCCCTCTTCCTGAAGGAACTCACAGTTATCTTAGGTAAGGAGCCACAGCTATGTGGACTTCAGCAAGAATCCCAGAGGCAAGTTCAAGGGTCACACATTAGGTACGGCCAGTGTCTAGACCATGCATTCTGCTTGGAAAGAGGAATCAACATGAATCACTGGAATAGGCAAGAAACTTCTAGAATGAGAGGCAAGAGGAAAGGCTGTGTCTGTGCTATTCTCTGCATTTCCCAGGGCCCCTGTCACCCTGTGCATGTTGCTGATGAGGTCTCTACAGCACTGGTGATAGGAGCAGATGTGTGCAAAGGACTGGAAGTGGCCCTAAGGGACACTGAGATCTTTCCCGCATGATTTGGATGTGGCAGAGTGTTCAAAGAACCATCAGAAGTTCAGTGTGGCTGCAGCAAAGCACCGAGGATGGGACAATAATGGGAGAAAAGTCTGGAAAAGATAGATTAAAGGACCCTGAGGCTGAGCTGGGAGAGGTGTAGGAAGCAAGGAACCCAGAAGCATTCTCAGCAGGGGGATGACAATGCACTGTTGGGTCCTAGACCAGCCAACAGTAGCAGAGAAGGAAAAACAGACTCCACAAGCCCAGAGCTGGGCCAGAGAGGGTCCCTGTGAACCCTCCACAGAAGCTAGGCTGGGTGGTGACAGCAGAGGGAAGCCTATAACCCTTCTCACCACAGTCCCCACAGCTGCTCTTTTTTTTCAGGCGACCCTCTCCAAGACCGACTGCCAAGCATCCCTCTGCCCAGCCCCTACATTACCTTCCACCTGTGGACGGACCAGGAGCAGCTCTGTACGTGCCTGAGCCTCTGAGCTCCTATAGAGCTGGCTGAGAACAGTGGCGTATGTCTGTGTGTGTTCACATGTATGTCTGTGTGTCTGTGTGTCTGGGCTCCTATCTGTATTCACTTTTTGTCTGCTAAATTGTTTTACATGTCTGGAAAGGGGCATATATTCTCCAGGTTGGACTAACTCAGTGCATAAGCCACTGGTCTTTTGTGCCCATGTTAAGAGGAAGGTCAGCAGAACCCAGAGCTGGAGAGGTTTTCCAGAACAGACATTTCCCTACACTCTGGTGTCCTATTCCAGTTCTCTTGGATCTTCTCAAGGGACAGAGAGGACAAGGACACCAGTTATAGGGGGAAGTATTGGGCTGGGATAGTTCGCTTAGGTGTAATAAAACAAAGGTGGATTGGAAAACCTGTATGGCTTCCTGGAGCTGGTCTGGTATCTGTGTTCCAGGGGGAAATTACAAGACATGGGAGGTTGAGAGGGCCCCAGGGTCAGCTAAATATGGGAGGCGTTGGGCTAAACTGACATAAAGTGCAGGACTTCTCAGAGCCTTTTTGTTTTGTTTTGTTTTGTTTGTTCTGAGACAGGGTCTCCATGTAGCTACAGCTGACCTGGAAGTCCCTATGCAGACCAGGCTGGCCTCCATCTCTCAGAGATCCACCTGCCTCTGCCTATCGAATGCTGGGAGTTCGCCACCACACCCCAGCTTCTCAGAGCTTTTAATACATTTACTGTTTACTTTATTCAACAAGAGGAGGCAGGACTGTGCAGGACTCTGGATCTTTGTTGATCACAGGGCCTTTGTTCCTTTGTGAAATGTCCTGTAGGGCTCCTTTCCAGGTGGACAGTGTTTGAGAAACAGACAACCCAGGCTTTTCTGGTGAAGGGCCCCTCAGCTTCAGGTGCCCTCACCACCCTGACAGTGTCCCTGTTCTTTTGTCTCAGGGAAAGAACTGGTGCTCTTCCTTCGTCCACATTCCCAGCTACGCCTCAGCGCTGACTTGGAGGCTTTGGATCTACAAGGCCTCAGGCCAGACCGGGACTTGGCCCGGGTGTCTATGCTATCCACTGACAGTGGTATTGAGCGGGATCTTCCTTTGGGAGCCGATGAGCTCCCAGCCCCTAGCAGCCCCGAGATGGAGCGGGCTTCACTGCAACGCAAGGGAGGCATCAAGAAGCGTGTGTGGCCCCCCCACTTCTCCATGCCTGGCAGCTGGGATGGGACCCCAGGGCTGCACCGGAGAACTGGCAGGCCCAGTGGGGATGGGGAGCTGCTTCCTGGTGTCTCCCGGGTGCATACAGCCCGTGTGCTGGTGCTGGGGGATGACAGGATGCTGGGGCAATTGGCCCAGGCCTACCACAGACTCAGGTAGGGCTCTGGTGGTGGACTCAGTGCTGGGGTTGTCAGGGGTATGAGTGAACCTGGAATGGGCTGGCGAAGGATGGAGAAGGGCATCATAGGGATCGGAGGAGAGGCCAGGCTGGGTGGGAAGGATATTGCACAGTACTCCCAATGCCCAGCCATTATGGCAGCCCCATTGTCTTCAGCCTCACCCTGACAGGGAATGACAACTGTGTATTTTGTAGATGGTTAAACAAAGGCTTGGAGTGATAGTATAAACTGCTCAAAGTCAATACATGATCAATGACAAAGCCAAGACGATTTTATGCCAATCCCCGAGCCTCCCAGCTCTTAGCACTGTGCTTTGCTGCCCATTGCCAGGAAACGGGAGACCAAGAAGTTCTGCCTCACTCCCAGACTCAGCCTGCAGCTTTACTACATCCCGGTGCTGGCACCTCAGGTGATGGGGGCGTGATGGGACAACCCCAGGAAAGGAGTGGAGGATGGAGCAAGAGAAACTTGAGGAGGCTGGTCTTCCAGCTCAGAATCTAAGCCAGTGCCCTGGGCCAGGGCTGCATGTGGCCAGAGACTGGCTCTGTCACTGCGGCCTGCTCACAATTGAGTTGTGTCTTATTTCTAATGGAATTGTCAGTGGTGGTCAGTATCTCAGACATCCTCCTTAGGGAACTCCACTCAGGGAGAGCTGGATCCTTGACTACACCATTGCATGACACAGGTGCTCTTAGATACATGCAGGCAATACACCCATACACATAAAAATAAAAATAACAATTTTTTTTAAAAAGATCAAAAAACAAAACTAAAATCTAAGCAAACAAAAAAATTAAGTTAAAAAGTTATGGTTTTAATTATTTTTCTTGTCCTAAAGCATTTCCTTTTGTAACTGAAACTGTAAAGTGGTTTTTCTGGGGTGCAGTTTAGATGTAGAGATGAGAGAGGAGTATGACACAGTTAAACTCCCCAGCCACAGACACTCGGCTATGAGGAGGCGCAATCCATTTGTCATTTTTAACATCTTTACATGAGATGTTTCTTAGAAGAGGGAGTATTGTCTCTGTAAGTGATCTTCACTTGAGTTTTCTTAGTTGTGCTGACATTCTTGACTTGCAGCTGGTGAAGGGCCTTTTCCCTTCCCTGGTCCCCTTAACTTTTCATCTTTCCATCCAGCCTCAGATTCGTGGTAAGCCTGTCCTCACACATAGGTCTCTCTCCCTTTCTCTCTTCTTTCTACATTTATTTATTCACTGTGTACATGTGTGCGTGCACACCTCCACTCTGGATCACATGGAAGCTCATTCGCCTGCTCCTTACCCAGAAGAGTAAAATCCAAGCAATATTTGTCTCCCTTTAAAGGCCAACCATCTTTTTCAGTGACCCTCAGTAAAAGCACCTCTGCTTCAACCTGAGTTTATGATACAGAACACTATTTTTTCTTCATACAGTATAGAAATTTAGCCCCTGAGAGGTTAAATGACTTGACTGTGGTCACAAAGTATCAGGCCATGGCATCTGGGGTCCCCAGATTGAGAAGGCAGGGCCTGACAGCTCTGCCCATCCCCTTATCCCCAGGGACCCACAGCATCCAGAAAGCTTGAGCTGGGAGAGCTGGCCTCCTTTCTGGGCCAAGTGGACCCATGGTATGCAAGCACCGTCAACACCTTGTGTCCTGCCATCCTCAAGCTGGCTGAGATGGTAGGGACAGCAGGGCAAGGGGGAGGAAGGGAGGAAAGGAGGAAAGGAGGGAGGGAGGAAGGAGGGAGGGAGGAGGAAGGAGGAAGAAAGGAGGGAGGGAGGAAGGAGGGAGGAGGGAAGTAAGGATGAAGGAAGGAAGGATGAAGGAAGGATGAAGGAATGAAGAGAAAGAATGAAACAGAGAGAGACAGGGAGAAAGAAAGGAAGGGATTCAATGGTATTCAGGCCACTGTCCAAACAGAGGGAGGGAGGGATGGAGGGAAGGAGGGAGGAAGGAGGGAGGAAGAAAGGAAGGAGGGAGGAGGGAGGAGAAAGGAGAGAGGAAGAAAGGAAGGAGGGAGGAGGAAGGAGGGAGGAGGGACGGAGGAAGAAAGGGAGGGAGAGGGAAAGAGGGAGGAGGGAGGGGTATAAGTGGCATGAGTGGAGATGTGGGGGAAAAAAGAAATCCCAGGTGCAGAGGGACGGTAGAGTGGGGTCAGGAGAAGACTTCTTTTAGATATTGCATTCGACTCTTGATCTCAAGGTTTAATCTCAAGGTATTTGTGCATTTAGTTCTCATAGCAGGTGGGTCCTGATGTTCCCAGGTACTGTCACCATGCACATGTGCCCATTTTACAGACCAGGTAGGCAAGGCACAAAGAGATTAGATAACTTGCCCAAAGTAGCAAAATTAATTATGGTGCACAGCCCTTACCCTGGTAGCCTGACTCCAGACTATTATATTTACCACACCCTAACCATGACTGGAGGGGGGCAGGATGGGATGGGACTGGGGAGTTCTGGGGGGCTGTTATCTATTCACAGTTACACAGAATATATGTTATGTCATAAATACTGCAGAGAGTTTGTTTGCACACTTTGTAATTTACTCATCAGGTTTTGACTTAGTGTTGTCAGACCTAGAACTTTTATTCTTTATGGCTTCTTTTTTATTCTCTCCTCTCTCTCTCTCTCTCCCTCTCTTTCTCTCTCTCTTTCTCTCTCTCTCTCCCTCCCTCCCCCCATCCCTATGTGTGTGTGTGTGTGTGTGTGTGTGTGTGTGTACATGGTACAGCATGTGTGTGAAGGTCAGAGGACAGCTTTGAAGAGTCAGTTTTCTTCTTCCACCTTTAGTGCATTCTGGGGCTTGAACTCAGGTCACCAAGCTTGTATAACAAGGACTTCACCTACTGAGCCATCTCACTGGCCCCTGGAGTCTTGCTTCTTAAGGCCTGAGATCACATGATCATAAACTCAAACACTTTTGAAGCCTGAAATTTTCCATTTAAATAATTAGCCCAGGGCTGGAGAGAGAGTTCAGCAGTTAAGAGCAGAGTTCCCCTCTGACCTCCACAGGCATTGCACACATGGGTGTGCTTACATAACATGTGTACAAAATATGCATCTTGCTTTTCCAAAGGTCTGATTGTACAAAAGCTGTTAGCTGTAGGAACCATCCTACCTCGTCCATTTGATGTTCCACTCTCACCTTTGACTGACCTCTTTCATTGGTTTGACATTACTTCTGGAAGCTTGTTATTCTATGGATCTAGCAGTTCTGCACACTTCGACATTTTTCTATTTTACTATCTGGCAGGTTAGCCTGCACTGTTATTTTTCTTTTAAGAACTTTGTGGAATATACTCATGTATCTTTCTTGATAAACTTTAGAATTGCATTTTGATTTTCTTTAATTACTTTTATTGAATATTTATTTGTATTTATATGTGTGTATGCACACATGCATACAAGTGACCACAGAGGCTAGAAGCGGGTGTTGGATCACCTGGAACTGGAGTTACAGGTGGTTGTGAGCCTCCTGACATGGGTATTGGGAACTCAAGTCTGCTCTTCTGAGAGGAGCAGTATGTGCTCCTCATCACTGAGCCATCTCTCCAGTCCCATTTTATTTGGAGACAGGGTCTCCCTGTGGCCCCAGCTGCCCTGGAACTCGCTATGTAGGTCAGGCTGGCCTCAAACTCACAGAGACCTGCCTGCCTCTGCCTCTGGAGCACTGGAATTAAAGGTGTGTGCCACCATGACCAGCCAGCCCTAATTTTTAAAAATTCTATTCGAATTTTTATTAAAATTTGGGGAAGAATCAACATCTTTAAGCTTCCTTCTCTGGGAGCACAATATAGTTTTTTTGTTTGTTTGTTTCTGTTTTGGGTTTTGGTTTTTCTAGGGGCTTGGGTTTTTTTTAACATGAATATTTTCTTGCATGCCTCTTGGCAGGCAAGGACTGTAGAGTTTTCCTCACAGTTTCTGCCCTTTCTTTGCTAAACTTACTCCCAATGTTTGATATCATTTCTGGCCATGGTGATGGCATCTTTCAGTCTATTTAGATAGACTATATTGCTAGGACAATGGGAAGCTACATGTATATATTTTATTTACCTATTTTATTCATTTTACTTCTTTAAAGTTGTACTTTAAGAACTCATAACATAAAAAGTACCCATTTCTTTTGTTAACTTGCCACTAAACTGAGCTCTTTGTTCTCTGTTGTCCTCCATCACTTGCCTGATTGGCATGTCACTTTATATATTTTATTCATGCAAAGATATTTGGGGCTGTGTGCATGTTTACTGAATAATGTCTTATCTGAGAATGTCTTTGCACATACACGAAAGACTCTTTATCTGGGTATTAAAACACCTTTTTCCTTAAAGGTGGAGAGGGTTACAGGAAGACATTTCAGTGCAGTCTTCATCAGCCCATCTCTTCCACTGGTAGCTTTTCTTCCAACCAGGACACATGCAAGACTTTGGTTTCTCCCTCTACACTCGTCCCTTATCATTATTTGTACAGCCTTTCCCAAAGCAGCTCCCACATGAAGGAACTGGAGACACTGTGAGCAATGGCAGTGCTCCCAGAACGCAGTCACAGGTCTTCAGCATGATCTTTCTGAAGGGAATATTTCAATAAACCAGGAATGAGAGTCAGAAGAGTCTTTGCACAATTAGATATGTTGGCTAAAATAAATTCTGAGTTTCTTTCCAACTTTGATATTGCAGGTTGAGCATCCCTAACCTGAATATGCAAAACTTGAAATGCTCTAAAATCTACAATTTTTTTAGCACCATTATGTCATAATTTTTCACACTTGACCTCACATGACAGGTCATAGTCTAAACACAGGCACACTAAAAATATGTGAAACTGCCTTTAGGCTATGATAAGGTATATATGAAACAAAATGGATTTCATGTTTAGACTTGAGCCCTATAGTTGAGACATTTCATTATCTACACAAAAATATTCCAGAATCTGAAGGAAAAAAAACCACATCAAGTCAGAAACATCTCTGGTCCCAAGCATTTCAGGTAAGGGATACTCATCTACACAGACTGTATCCCAGTCTATGTAGATGCTCTAGTCTGTTTGCCTGAAAATCCCAATCATTGTGCTTTGCCATCCTGGGGCTGGGGAAAGGCACAGAGGACAAGGCACTAAGCCTATACAACACATGCAAACATTGGTTTGTTATTTTGAAACACAGTCTCACTGTGTAGTTGAATTCATGATCCCTTTGCCTCAGCCTCCCAAGGAACTGAAGGCACATGCCATCACACCTGGCTTATTAGTGAATTCTTTAATAGACTGAGAAGTGGACCAGAGCAGAAAGAGACATCATCAGATCACGCAATTCAACTTATTTCTCCCTTGAAGAAAACCCAGGGCTTAAAAAGTTTGAATAACGTTTGCCCGGACTTCCTGGATAGTGAGTAGCCAATCCAAACCTAGACTGCATCTGGGCTCCTTCATTATTTACATTCTCAAGCATCTTGCCTTTCCCACGCTTCTAGCACAGTGCCTTGCATATGGAGAGGCTCAGTAAGTCTTTGTGCAATTGGAATGAACCAGGTTCCCTGGGGAGATGGAGCTCTGGGCAGATATATTTTGGTTAGAAGTAGAAACTAGATGACCAGGAAGGCTTGGTCAACCAGATTTGGTCATCACAGGGAGTGTCAGGGTTTTGGAGTTTCTCCATTGAGACACTGGCACCTCCCACAGCAGCCTGGAGGGAGGTGGCTGAAGACCCTCCCCATGTTCCTCACAGCCTCCCTGTCTGGACACATCCCGGAGTGTGGACCCTTTTATCCTTGATGTCATCACTTACTATGTTCGCATGGGCACCCAACCCATCTATTTCCAGCTTTACAGAGTTAAGGTAAGTCTCTCTTCTGGGGTGCCATGCCAGCCTGCAGGACCCTGGACACCACCTCTTAAATACTGTGGCTGTTTCAGTCTTCATCACTTTTGTCAAACCTTCCCATTCAGCAAATGACTTTCCCACCTACTCCACTAGAAAAAGATAAATGGATGCCATTTAGGTTCCCCGAACTTTCTGTCCACATCCAGAAATGCATCACACCCATTCACATCCTCCCAGAGCCTCCTCTGATCCAGTTCAGGATGAACCCCTTCATCTATGTGCTTGATCAGTCACCATGACACAAAGGGAACAAACACCTTTTAAGACAAATTAAATGAACAGTTGGGCACCAGTCAATGCCCTTTCATGCCAGCCACCACGACAGAGGCAGAGGGGCACAAAGCTGGGGGTTCTGCATCTTGTTGCAATACAGATGAATGGCCACCAGGGAAAGCCACGGGCATCTCAGCAAGAGACTGCAGGGAAGAAATAGTTCTGGAAGCTGGGCTTCCATTTGGGGAAAGGTTTCTGAAAGCAATACTTTGCCCCTGATTGGATACCGGCAGGAGAAATTCTATGATTGAGCACCTCCTTAAATCTTACAGACTGAGGTTGAGGGATCAGCAGTCACGAGTCTTTCTGGGATGGGAAGGCTGTAGATGGATGGCTGCACTCTGGCCCTGCTTGTCTATTTGGACTGGTTGTGGAGTAGACTGGATTTTGTCTTTACCGATCCTGGCCACCCAGAAGCTTCAGGTAGTAATGGTTATCTGTGAAGTGTCAGGCCTGCATTTCTCTCGAATTCCAGTTCCATAGTGTTCGGACCCTCTTTCTCTTCCCCCAGCTACACCTGGCCTCTCCTTTCTGCCAATCAGCTCTCACCAGCCCTACCCTTACGTAGCCCAGGCTTCTTTGTACACAGTGAAGGACTAAGTTCTTCTGCCTGGCTCTCATTCACTTAACCTATGTCTACAAGACTTTTTATAACATTGTTACTCCTCTCAGGTATGAGTTTTATCCCAAGTGCATCACTAGGGGTGTGTGTGTGTGTGTGTGTGTGTGTGTGTGTGTGTGTGTGTGAGTGTGTGTGTGTTGTCTTGTTTGCAGTGATGGGGATCAAACCTAGGGCTTTGCACGTTAAGTAAACACTCTACCACAGAGCTACATCCCCCAGTCCCTGGGTTTTTGATGAAAGTTTTTTCCACTATTTATAACCATGTGTTGCTTAAAGACAGACACGTTCTGAGAACTTTGTCATTAGATGATTTTATCATTGTAGGAACAGAGTGTATGTATTTACACAAATCTAAGTGCAGTAAGTCAGCCATTTGGTGTGACAACTTGATATAATCAAGAGATTCAGTGATTCTAGATGTGTGAGGTTGCCACTGGCATAACGGGGTATGCTGCCTTACAGTCAACTGGTTTCTAATATGTGGCAGTTTACTCTAAAATAATAGTAAAAAGTATAGTGTAGTAAATGCATAAACCAGTAACATAGTCAGCCAGTACACATAACTGTATTGCTTTAGTTTTATATAATTGACAGCACAGAGCGTTTGTTTCCACCAGCAGCAAAAGCATGTAAGTGACATATTGTGCTGTGTATGGCCTTACACTGGCTACAGTGTCACTAAGTGATGAGAATATTCTAGCTCCATCATAATCCTGTGGGGCCACTGTGGAATATGGGCTACGTTGGTCAACAAAACATGGTTATAAGGCATATGATTATATATGACATTGCTGTAATTGTGGACAGATGTGACTCAGGTGGCTACTCCATGAAGCTCAAAACCTAGCACTGGTAGGTTAGGTAGGTGACACCTGTCCTGCTTCTCAGGCTCCTCAGGCTGTGGCATCAGAAGCAGAGGTCAGCTTCTCCAGATCCCCTCTCTCCCTCCCTTCCTCCCTTCTTCCTCTGCTCCCTTGTCTCTGACCCTTCTCTCCAGATCTTCACAGACCTGAGTCAAGACCCTACAGAGGACATTTTCCTTACAGAGCTGAAGGTGAAGATCCAAGACTCCAAGTCCCTCAAAGGTGAGCTTCTGCTGCATTTTTTCCAGAGCCCACACTGTCTCAGCTTCCCCCAAACTCCCTGTCACCTATCACCAGATGGTATCCCCATGGTTGCCCTGCACTGAATGCCATGGCCACTCTCCCCACTTCAGAGGTCTCTGAGACTGAAAGGCAGCCTCCCCAATCCCGTGCTGCCTCTCCATCCAGGGAGAGCTACCTGGTCCATCAAGCAGCTCAGCTATGCCTCTGTGACACAAGGGAGGGACCGCTTACCTTATTCCTCCTCTTATCTCCGTCAGAGGGCTCTTCACCCTGGAAGAGAGGGGCAGCTGAGGGTCAAGGTGCCGAGCTGTCCATATGCTACCAGAAGGTCAGTGTCATGGACATACCCAGCCAGGGCCCAGGTGGCACAGCTAATGAAAGCTGGCCTCAGGGACATGGGAGCTGTGGACAGAGCCAAAGCCCTTTCTTGAAGCTGCCACCAGAGTCGCTCAGACTTTAGAGGGTTCTACAAGGATGGAATGGGGATGGGGTTGGCCTTCTATAACGACAAGGAGGTGATGTGTTCTAAGAAACAAGAGGGTTGGCTGGGCATGGTGGTACATGCCTTTAATCCCAGTGCTCAGAAGGCAGAGGCAGATGGAGCTCTGTGAGTTTGAGGCCAGCCTGGTCTACTAACAAGTTCCAGGCCAGGGCTTACATAGTGAGACCAAGGAGGAGGGGAAGAAAAGGAGGAGGGGAAGGGGGGAGGGGGAGAAAGACGATGACTGGCCACCTCGGTCAAAAACCTCTTCCTCACAAGCTGACCATCTAAAAGTTTGAACTGATCTCATTAGAGACTTGGTCATTAGGATCTGAGTTGTCTGGAGTAGCAATGTTCTAAGCCTCTGCCCACTGACTCTGTATTGACATCTGTGCCACAAGAGGGACTCTTGGGGCAGGGTGGAAGCATGGGAGAAACATGAGGATGGGGTGAGCATGCCCTCAGGACTCCCTTTTCTGCTCAATTCTCATCCCTAGGCTCTGCTCAGCCATAGGCCTCGAGAGGTCACTGTTTCCCTGCGGGCCACTGGGCTGGTCCTGAAGGCCATTCCAGCTGATGATACAGAAGGTGAGGAGGTGGGAATGCAGAGTGAAGAGAGGGGAGGGATGAGAAGGGGGAAAGTTGGGGAGAGAGAAGGGGACAGGCTCAGCTGATAGGAGTTGGAGGAAGCCGGGGAGGGCCTCACAGCCTCCTTGCCACCCCAGAGCTCTGGCTGGGAAGAGCTGGGACCCAGGCTGCTCTGAGTGAAGCAGGGTCCCTGCTGTCAGGTGGTCCACTGCCACGTGACCCTGACTAGTCCAGCCTTGGGACTGGACCTCCACAGCTGGAAGGTAGAGGGCCCTAGGGAGTGGAGCAGGCACCTACCACCTCTGAATTAGGTGAATTAGGTCTGCAGAACTGAGTACTTTCTGCTTGGATTTTACATATTGTTCATTAATAAGTAAATAAAATGGAGATAGCAGTAAAAGAGATCTGCCTATGAAAATATAGCACATTATCAATATTAGCTTTCACCATAGGATCCCTGTCCCTGGAAGGATAGGAGAGTGGCAGAATACATTATAGCAGCTGCACTGGTTTGCCAGGGCCTGGACAGTATGCTGTTAAAGGCGTGGACTCTTTCTGAGCATGTTAACTCATGAGATAGATATTATCAGTATTCCTAAAATTTTCCTGGAGAAGAAACAGAAGCAAAAACTATAACTTCCTCAAGGTCACCTCTGTGTGGAAACTCAAAACAGATTCAGACCCAGACACCCTCATATGATCCTCTTTACCTCTGCCCCACAATGTCTCTCCTGAGAACTGCCAAATTCTACAGCCTAGACTTCAGGGATGTCACCTGTACAGCCTTGGGGAAGATCGTTTCCGAGCAAACAAGAAAGCTCACTCAGGCAAAATAAACCCACTCACCACTCTCTGCCCAGTGCCCAAAACATATCTGACACACAACAGATGCAGTGAGTTGGGGTGGTGGTCCAGGCCTAGAACTGAAGAACTTGGGAGGCTGAGGCAGGAGGATCACCAATTCAGAGACAGTCTGGGCTATATCATGAGACCCTGTCACAAACACAAACTCAATAAACATTTGCTGAATAAATGAAGTATAACTTTACATCCACAATACATTGTCCTAGAGGTGGCTACAAAGCAGTTGGCTGAGAGAGCAGGGGCAGGGCTGGGTAGGCAGAGTTCATAACACAGCTTTACCCCTTGCAATCTATGTAGCCTTGGGCAAGTGACTTGTCACTTTTATGCTTGAAAAAAATAGAGAGATATGAGGCTGAAGAGATGGTTCAGTTGTTAAGATCAGTGGTTGCTCTTGTAGAGGACCCAGATTTGATTCCCAGCACTGACATGGTGGCTACAACCGTCCTCAACTCCAGTTCCAGGGGATCTGGCGCCCTCTTCTGACCTCTATAGGCATTGCATGACACTGGTGCACTTACACACATGCAGGCAATACACTCATATTTTTATTTTATTTATTTATTGTATTTTTAAGACAGGGTCTCCATGCAGCCACAGTGGGCCTGAAACTCAGTATGTAGACCAGGCTGGCCTCCATCTCACAGAAATCTACCTGCCTCTGCCTCCAGAATGCTAAGATTAAAGGTGTGAGTCACCACGCCTGGCCAATAAAATATTTTTTAATAGAAAGATAAAAGATACTGGCTTATGTGCACATAGTAAACTATAAATGTTAGCTCTTGTGGTTAAATTATATTCCTTGCTGGGCCTGGTGACACATGCCTGTAACCTGAGCAGTCTCAGGCATTGAGGCAGGAGGATCAGATCAAGGTTATCCTTGATTACACAGCAAGTTTGAGGCCAGCTGGGACTACATGAGACCCTGCCTCAAAAGAAATTATATTATTTCTATTTCTTTTTCAAGATATTCAATTCTCTCCGACCTAGACCTGTCAAAACAAGTAACCACAACAGGTGAGGCCAGAACAGTTTTTAGAAATACGAATTCCTCTCAGTACCATCTTTAGTTGGCAGAGAGGGCTTAAGCCTTGCAGTAGTCACACAATCATGACTTTTTGATGCAATATACACTATTAAGAAAGTATATGGGGGCATTGGAGAGATGGTTCAGTGGCTAAGAGCACTGGCTGCCCCTCCAAAGGACCTAGGTTCAATTCCCAGCACCTAATGGCAGGGATCTAACACCTTTTTCTGGCCTCTGTGGGCATTGCACAAGACAAGAGCACTTACATACATCCAGGCAAAATACTCATACACATAAAATAAAAATTAATTGCTGGGTGTGGTGGTGCACACCTTTAATCCCAGCACTTGGGAGGCAGAGGCAGGTGGATCTTTGTGAGTTCAAGGCCAGCCTAGTCTACATAGTGAGCTCCAGGACAGCTGGGGCTACAAGGAGACCCTGTCTCAAAAAGACAAAAATTTAATTAATTAATTTAAAAAAAAATTTTTAAGGTGGATGGGGAGGATATCTGGGGATGCAGTTTAGTGTTTGCCTCTCCATGTGATGCCCTGAGTTCAATTCCCAGCACCACTGAATCAATTTTTAAAATTACAGAAAGAGTCAGGTGTGGCCTTTAATCCTGGCACTTGGGAAGCACAGAGAGGCAGGCAGATCTTTGTGAGACTACACCAGTCTGGTCTACATAGCCAGTTTTAGGCAAGCTTGGAATATAGGGAGACCTTGTCTCAAAAAGAGAGAGAGAGAGAGAGAGAGAGAGAGAGAGAGAGAGAGAGAGAGAGAGAGAGAACACAGAGAGAGAAAGAAAAAAACAGAAAGGAAGTCAAAGAAACACCCTGTCCCTCGATGGGACTGCTGTCCCCCTCCCTGCTGGTGTCTCTACCTCTCAGACACCAGCCATGTGCCCCTTTCATTCTTGTTGCACTCAGGAGCTGCAGAGAAGACCAATGGAATGTTCTTCCTTTGAAAGAGGGGAAAAGGGAGATGAAAAAAAAAAGTGGTGTTTGGAGTGGTGATCACTGGGTTTAGAAACTTAGTTGATGCTCCAGGGAAGGAGATGGGAGAAGAAGAAGGACCGTAGCTTGGCTAGGACCAAGGAAGGCAGAATTGGGAAGTGGGGCTGAGGAGGCAGGCATGGAGATAGGGTTATAGGTCTTCTTGAGACCCAGAATCTCCAATTTCCCATTCACAGCACCCCCATTTTGTTCAGTTTCAGGGTTCTCCCATGGCTCCCCGAATGCTGCTTCTGTTACAGACCACACATGTCTTCATGTCAGTGTAACCGAGGTTGTCAAGTCCTCCAACCTGGCGGGAAGGTCATTCCCTGTAAGTCTGGGTGGAATAGGAAGGACAGGCAGAGGGGAATGGGTAACTGGCAGGGAGTTTGAGGGGAAGCTGTTCAGAGAAGGGGAGCCTTCACTCCTGGGGAGGGGCTGCCTCTGGCAGCCGATCTGCTTTCTGCCCAATCTGGGCAGCACTGAGCTCCTGCTAGTATAAGAAAGCACCTGAAGAGTCAAGCCCTGTCCTCTATCAGCAGACCATTTAAGGACTAAGATGGTCCAACAACCACAGATGTCCCAACATCAGTCATCCAGGCTACTACCCTATAGTCAGAGCTACACAATAGCATCCTAACCTGTAACCACATACCATAAGCAGTTCGCATTCTTGCTTGCTCACCTTCTTCTCCTTCCCTCCTCCCTCCATCCCTCACTACCACTAGGGTTTCCCCTTGCCCTTGACTTTACCTTGATTGATACTTAGTGATCAAGATATGAGACCCACCCATTTTCTCCCACTCTGATGGCCTCTCTAAATTTCACTTGTCACTTATTTTGACTTGAAGCCCCATGATTTCACCTGCACTGTGTTGGCACTGACACCCAGTGCACCACCCACGAGGCAGGCTGTATGCCCAGGTAGCTGGGAGCACCTGGAATAAGTCCTCTGCCCACACTGACCAGACCCCAGCAAAGCCCTGCCGTCCCAGTTCACCCAGAGCCTTGATGTCACTCAGCCCCTCTCCTGTTGGAGCCTCTTTTCTTTCTCTGGTTTTGACCTCGCCCTCTTTCCTGCTCCTTCCCTATAAACAGACTCAGGTTCTCTTTGCCCTAAAACAAACAAACTCTACCTGGCCTCATTTCCTCTCTACCTATCCACTAGAGCTCCTTTCTCTACTCTCGGTTAAGCTTCTTCAAACACATTTCTAGAAGTTTCCAGGCTCTTATCTATGACTGCTCTGCCCACAGCCATCTGCTTTCAGTCTACCCCACTGGGGCAAAGATGACCTCCATGTTGTAAAGCCAATGGTCCCTTATTAGTCCTTCCCTTTCTTTATTGCAAGGTAATGTTTTAATATATAAATTAAAAGTTTCGTTATTTTTTTTGGAAAATACCAAAAGGTATAAAGAAGTAAGATCACTTGTAGTCTCAATACATGGTTAAGTTGACTAGTAACACTTCTGAGTGTAAACACTCAGGCTTTTTCCTATACATTTTTATATAGATGACAATGACAGTACTACAGCACATAATGTTCTATAGCAGTGCTTTTACTCAAAATATGCAAAAGCCTTGTGCATTAGTTCTGGTGGGACTTTGTTTATGTCATTAAGTATGCTTTGTGTCATTAAATAATCATGGTATGATGGCTGCATTTAACATTTATATGATCAGATAATTATTGAAATAATTACTGAAATGGTTTTTTGTAGGATAGTCAAATGATCTTCTTTCATTATTATAAGCATACAATGAAGAACATACTTAGGGTTAAATAGGTACTAAAATCATGATTATGTCTTTTAAAAACTGCCTAGTGGAATGGTATCCAGACATTGGGGCATTTAACCACCTTGCTCTCCAAGTTCTACTCCCACCACAAGGTGTGAACACCAATTTTGCAATGCAGTCAGTATACAAATTGATTTGTTTCATCTTTTCATCTGATTTTTTCATCTCGGCAAACTTCCCATTATTTTAATTTGCATTTCTGTCACTACCAAGTAGTGAAGCTGATCTTTCCCTCATATTTGCTGATAATTTCCATTTCTTTGTTCATGTATTTCCTGCTTATATTCTCATCCATATTAATACTATGATGTCCCTATTTTAATTAATTTTTTAATGTGTATGAGTGTTATGCCTGCATGTGCGTAAGTGCACCAATGTTGTGTGGTGCCACAGAGGACAGAAGAGGGCGTCACACCCCTTGGAACTGGAGTTACAGACAGTTGTTAGCTGCCATGTGGGTGCTGGGATTTGAACCTGGGTCTTTTGCAAGAACAGCCAATGCTTCTAACCACTGAGCCATCTTTCCAGCCAGATGTCCCTATTTTATATGAGGACATTAACTCTTTATCCATCCCACATTTTGGAAATATTTTTCCCAGTTTTTCTTTTAATTTTTTTAACCTTTATACGTCGATAAGTTTACCCATTGATTTCCTTTAATGGTTTCTGCCTCTGATATGATTGTATATTACCTATGTCTGAACAGTGTATCTCCTTGAGTTTAGACATATCCCAGCTGGGCCTGATGGTGCAGGTTTGTCATCACAGCTGTTCAGGAGGCTCAGGAAAGATGGCAAATTCAAAGTCAGAATGGGCTACAGAATGAGTTCAAGGCCAGAGTCTGGGCAACTTTGTAAGAACTTATCCCCCAATTTTTTTTAAGACAAGAACTTGGGATGTAGCACAGTGGTAGGGTGCTTGCCTAGCATGCATGAGGCCCTGGGTTTGAGCCTCAGTACCCAGGGGGGAAGAAAGGCATGTCATTCTGCATATTATAAAGAAACAGTGCTCCCTTAACTGTGAACAACGCTCCCCAACTCATTACATTTATTGCAAAATGCTTCCTGATTTCAGAGATATTAAAATATGGGTGGGGCCAATGTGTTTTAGAATTGGTGAAAATAGCTTCTCTGTTTAACAATGCATTGCTCCTTTCTCACCATTTTACTCTCTTTTATTTCTCTACTCATTTTAAATATCTCTATTTTATAGTCTGACTTACATGGTTACACCATCCATAACTACTGGGAGTCAAATCCTGCTGGTTACTGAGCACACCGACCCTGATGGTGGCTTACTTTCTTATGCACTTCTCCACTTATGGATCACAATTGTTGGGGCTTTGCCTTATGGGAAACCTGGGTGGGAATTTTTCCTTCTAAAGAAAGTCTACAGTTGCTCTTTCCAAGTGTCCTAGAGATGTGGTCAGCTAGACCATGCAGATAGAAAATGTACCCCAAATCCACACCAGGACAAGCTTGCTTAGAGCTGAGAATGTTCAGGAAAGACTTTTTTTCTTCACTCACTGCGCAAGCCAAAGTAGACAGCTCCCCTGCAGTCTCCTATTTCTGCTGAGGGGAATATTCTTAAATTTTATTTTTATTTTTGTGTATATATGTGTGTCTATTTGAGTGTATGCCATATATATGCAGATCAGAAGAGGGCATCAGACCCTCTAGAGCTGGAGTTATAGGCAGTTGTGAGCTTCTAGACATCAGTTCTGAGAGCTGAACTCACAAGGTTTAGAGAAGTAGCAAGAGCTCCTAAGTGCTAGGCCATCTCTCCAGACCCGGCAGCTCTTTTTCTAGTACAGGCTCTCACTGAGGTCTCCAAGAGACCTCGAAAGGGATCTCAGTAGTTCTCTGCCTCATGTGGGTCTAAGGCCTTGTCTCTGTCTCCCATGGTTGTTGAGCTCCAGACTCCTGAGCTTGGCAAATGTCCCTGAGACAGTGAAAGCATCTCACTTACTTAATTCTGACTTCTTTGGAATTTATTGAATGTTTTTCTTCATTTCTTGGTACATGATGAGGTCCTGGGTGTCGAACTTAGGTCATCAGGCTTGGCTTGCACCCTCACCCACGATGAATTTTTAAATATTTAGTGACAATGAAAAAAATACGTGTGCTTTCTATCTATAGAATGCAAAATACAATGTTATTAAGTCATACACACCATATTATTGTAACTTATAAAGTTTTTTAATTTAAATTTTTATTTATGTGTGTGTAAGTACTTGTGCACACGTGTGCTTATGGTGTTCAGACGACAACTTGCAAGAGGTGGTTCTGTCTTTCCATCATGTGATCCTCAGGCTCAAACGCCGATGTCACTTAAGCTTGGCAAGCACCCTTACCTGCTGAGCCATCTCACCGGCCCCAGTTTTTTAAAAATTTTTTGCTCACTGACTCTAACACTGAGAGATGTTTGTGGACATGGTTTTGATTTGTCATTTCTAGCTTGATTTCTTTTGAACACGAATTGTCTTCATTCATGAATCCTAAACAGGTATAATAACCTCCCAGCTGGTCTCCCTGAAATCTCTGTTTTAAGTTTGTCTTCCATATCTCTGCCCAAGCATCTCTCTAAATGCAGAACTCTTACACTTACTCCACAATTAAAGCTCTTCCTCCCATTCCTTAAGGGCAGAAAAACTTCAGCACTACATAGCTTGGCTCCTCCTCCTCTCTTGGCCCCTCCCTCCCTCCTCTTTTGTTGGCCCCTCCCTGCAAGTTCTGTCTGCTAAGGAGTTTAAAAGTGTTTCAGAAGTCCCACCTTTACTTTTGCTGCATGATCCTCATCCTCCACATTCTTTTTATAATTCCTGCAAGAGGGCTCAGGTGCCATCTACCTGAGAGGTATTTCCTGATCCTCGTCCCCTTCCAGGCCTCCTCAGCGGCACTCCCTGGTGAGCTGGGTACCCCACTTCTGCCCTCCCCCAGAATCGGGAGAACACACTGCAACTCTGTAAATGGTATAGAGGGACTTCTGACCTCAGACCCTCATCTTCGACCTATTTCCAGCACTTAGCCTGTCTGGCACACAGTAGGTCTCACCAGATGATTGCTAGGCATCTATCTAGACCTTCCTCTATCTCAGTCCTGAACTGGAAGCTCACTTTCTCTGAGGCACCCTACCCACTGTAGTAGAGCTCTGCTAGGCTCAGAGAATACATTGTCTTAGGCTTAGATCTGCCTGCCATAGGACAGCATGGTGTTTAAGCTTGAAGCTCTAAGGTGGACCTGGTTATTCTTCTGTTGTAGCTTCTCTTTGAAAGTCAGTTTTTTATATATGCTTCTGTTTACTGACCTCATTAAGCAACCTGGTCAGGGGCTTTGGATATCATTCCAGCAAGTTCCCTTTTATCCCATACTGACTTATGAGGAAATTCCAGTAGCTGTGTTTCCTCTCTTGGAACCCAGGCATGTCTGTGTGCTGGGATAAGATAGTAAATATTGAGTAACAGAGAGAAAACTCCTGGTGAGCTGGACCAAAGGTTCTCCCAGCTGGTACAACAGCATGAGCAAGGGCCTTGTGGCGAGCCTGGAGGGCTTAAGGCTTTGGCTGGGCTGGAGGCTTGATATACAGGAGTGATGCCGCAAGACAAGAACAGAAGCACTGAGGTTTTGGCTTGTGTTTGTGCCAGGTAGAAGATTTTGTGCATAATTCAATGTTGAGAACTGGGGTCATGATTTAAGAAGCCTGAAAAGTACTCACAAATTCCATGCAGAGCAACATGCCTACAACAGAAGATGCCCAGGATACATGGACACTAACTTCATAACCTGGCATGCACAGCCCACAGCATTCTAATTTGTGTTCAAAATGATAGACAAGGCCAGTTGTGGTGGTGCATGCCTTTATTACCAGCACTTGAGAGGCAGAGGCAGGTGGATCTCTGTGAGATCAAGGCCAGCCTGGTCCATATAGCAAAATGAGCCAAGCATACTGGTACATGCCTTTAATCCCAGCACTCAGGAGGCAAAGGCAGGTGGATCTCTGTGAGTTCAAGACCAGCCTGGTCTACATAGTGAGTAATGAGTTCCAGGCCTACTGGGGCTACTGGTAGATCCTGTCGCCAAAAAAAAAAAAAAAAAAAAGACAGGTTAGGAAAAGGGCTGCAGAATCAAAGCAAGATCTAAGTGCAAAGGCAACAGGAGGCATCTTATGTGTGTGTCACTGCTCAGAGTCACTTGTAGGAAGACAAAAGGGACTCCTTGAGCCAGACAGAAGACACATACCAGGTTGCAGGATAGGAAGTATTGCCAGGGCCAGATGCTGAGCAAAGGCGACATTCACATAATCTCTTTTCTCTCTCTCCTCTC